AAAAACTTACTAGATAATAATATAGATCTTAGAACAAAATGTATTTATTTTTGTTCGTTTTCAAAGGGATGGCTAAAAACCAGAAAACCTAATTCCGCTCCAATAAAGTGAATCTAAAAACATGTTTCTGAAATTTATGAGTTGTCTAAATAAACAATAAAAGTCCCAGGCAACCCAAAATTCCACCCCCAATACACATACTTACATATATATATATGCATGTATACTACTTTAGATCCCACTTTAGATAGGACTATCCAGATGATACACTAATGGCACACCCTGGCACTACATCCGGAACAGTTTGTCATTTTGTTTTTTAAAGTGCAGAGTATAGTGTAAAAATTAAAATTAGTGCAACCTAGGGTAAAAGGGCTGTTTGGGAATTAAATTATTTTTTTCTGTTATATTCACTGCTGACAATCTAAATACTATTTTGCGTCTAGATCTAAATACTTTTAATGCTGTCTGGATGTTTTCCCCAAAATTACAGCATGTGGCCGAATGAATTTAGGTGTTTTATTTTTCATCCAGATATTTTTTACAGAATTAATAATAGCATGTAGCCTATGAGATCCAGATGTTTGTATTTAATTTTTTACGCATTTTGTTTCAATTAGATTTAGCAGCACTGGCCACGTCATTGTTGCACATGGTTATATCTCAGTTAAGTTCAGATTACGAGTCAGCATTTGCGATTATTTTGTATTGTGGGTTAAATTAATTTAACCTCCAAAAATTGTGTGTTTACTACTGAATTATAAAAGGATTATCCGTTTGTGAAAAAGTTTGTGATCGTACTAACAAAGTGAAATATCAACTATGCTTTTCAGAATTAGCAGTAGCTCATGATGGGCGTTCGAACATTGCAAATCATTTGAAATGGGCGCAACATAAGGGAAGCCTAATAGGTAGCGACAGGAACTTCCTCAAATACAATATTATCACATTTCAAAGATACCGATTTAAAAGACAAAGAATTAATAATAGCAACTAAAGAAGCATTTCATGTTGCCATACACAACCTCATCTTGAAGTCAGTCAATTATTCATCTAAACTGATCAGTATTAATGTCATTCAGCCATTGTTGTTTCAGCAATTTTCCTAAGATTTAAATAACACAAATTTCGTGAAGGTAGGAATTAAATTAAACTGTGCAGATTGTTGTGCGGTGTTTTGTGTCAGATTGCGGCGTGAAAGTTAAACTTTTAAGACTTTCAATCAGTTCTCGATGAAACTGCATAAACACTGATAAACCATTTAATGAGAGTTATATAAAAACTCAAAATACAGAAAAAAGTGGATTTTTGTGGTGATAATTTCAATATTAATTTTGGGGGTGATAAATGTAGAGGAGGAAACAATATTTACGTACAATAGATTGAGGAATGAACGCGGAAGAAGTATTATTGACGTTGATCACAGTTCTTGAATCGTACACAGCTGCCTCTGAGCGACGCAGGATTTTAGATCTGTCATGAAGACCGGTATTCAAACAGCATTTATTAATTGAATTTGTATAAATTTTCACAATTTTGAATTTGTTTAAGTACTTATTTTAATTTCTATTTTCATAAACTTACATTCATTAAAATGATATTTACGTTATTAAAGAAAGTAAGAAAGTTAACCGCTTCCCTTACACATTTTTTTGAAAAAAATTGCAAAAAAATCATCACATTTTGTTATTTTATTATTAAATACTAGAAAACGAAACAAAACGAAATATATAGGTTTTAAGTTGAATTTTTAATTTTTTTATACAGGTGTAAAAGCATTTAGTTTTTATATTAGTTTACTATCCCGAGTTATCTCGGGCAAATAAAAAAAAAATTAAATATTAGTCGTTGTATGAGAGTTTTTGAAACAAGAGGCAACACAAAGTGATATCTAACATTCTATACACTGGTATCTGGTCTCTTTTACTGGCTTACCTCTGGAATCTCTTTTGCGGGAGCATAGAGGACACTGTCTCATTGGATTTTATTTTTTTTCAGAAGCAGGAATAACATCTGAAAAATGCCTGAGTTTCTAATCACTATCTGAAAATCATCGCTTTCGCTATCTTGCTCATCGCAATTATTTACTTTTTCCGCAACTATCATTCTTTTCATTTCTACTCCACAAGCCGCGTAACTAGACAATAGGAAAACACGTGACAGTCCCGCCAAAGCCCGCGCCGCCAACATCTTGGCGACTTGCCAAAACTGAATTTCCTTCTTCTCCACGCCGATGACCTGCTAACAAATCGTCTGACCCCTTTGCTTTGCCCGATTTTCTCGGATATTATTACTGCAATATATACGAACCCGGGATAATCAGGCAAGCGGTTAAATATCTTAAATCATAAGCTATTGTATACCAAGTAACAAAACTTCTCATGACCGGATAAAGCCGATCATTCCGCTCAGAGGGTTAAACTGCAGTTGATGTTCTACCCGTTGAAATAGAAGCTTAAGTAGTCAAAATTTATACATCTTTCTTTATTTATAAGATTCGAGTCACTGAACTGAATTCCGCGAATTTTAGATATAGAGTACAAAAGAGCATAAAAAGTTTCTTCCGCAGGGCAATACTCGTTATGTTTCGCTACTTCCAACTAATTGAGAGAATACTTGAAATCTACGCAGGGTTGAAATCTACGCAGGGTTGAAATCTTGTTTTATTTCATAAGAACACTAACCAGTAATGACCAAAAAAATAGATTTTTTTGATAATGATTGTGGTGAAATGTACTTGCGATCTCTACGAAGGCAGCTCAAATTATTTAACAAAGCTGTTATGATTGTGGAAAGTACAAAAGCGAGTGCAACTGATATTGTTAGCGAAACAGGAAAACTAAAAACAAACTTTCTGAAAGGAGTAATTGCACCTCAAGAAGCCAAAATAAAATTTTTAGAACCCTAAAAAATAATGAAACTCTTAATATCAATATAATCTTAGACGAATTTCTTTCATTTTATGATAGATGTCTGTCTTACGTTGAGCTATAGGAAAATAGTTTCGGTGAAGCAGAATCTTTCATTTGGATAAATAACGCTGACTTAATATGTCTGAAATCGAAGCTTTATAGGGAAAAAGTTAATGAAAGTGTCGCATATAATGAATAAAATAAATATGGATTAATGTTTGGATGAAATAGTGATTGTAAAAGCTTTTTGGTAAACTAATTATGAAATAAAAGTTGTCAAGAAAAATGGATTCAGCATTTCAGTCATTTCAAATAAAAAAAAATGCCCAATCTTGTTAAAACAATAGAATGCATTTTCAGCGTGCCAGGCACATCAGCACTCGTCGAAAATGTTTTCTCAGTTATGAATATCATATGGTCTGAAGAAACAGATACAATGGTTGAATCGACCGTAAAAGCTTTACTGTGATTCAAAATCAATAGTGAACTAAGTAAATTTTTCATTGCCATTTAAAATCGCAAGCACCTTTCAAGAAAAATTCCCATTAGCGATAAATCTAACAACGTCTTAATAATATTGTGTATGCTTGATATAGTTATTAAATTTTTAATTCATTATTTTTTTATTAATATCTTCTTTATTTAGCTTTTTCAATGATAATTACTGATGCTATAGCGTATTCAAGCCAGACGTCATTCGTGAAGCAAAAACATGGTAAACGGAAATATAATGGAGGGAAAAGAATTAAGCAAAAGAGACTCGATTTTTTTTCGATTTCTTGTGAAATGATTAAGTGTCAAATTGGAAGGCAGGAAATAACTTTGAAGCTTCATGATTTAAGGTGATAGACTATAGTAGATCTTATTTTCGGTTGAGAGTGTTTTCTCAAAATTGTCCCAGTTTGAGCAAAAATATTAAAGAAAGAGGGAGAGATAGATAGATACACTGACAGACGGATAGTCACAATTCTCAAACGTTGTAATCATTGTGAATTAGTGGAACATTTCAAGCAGAAAATTTAATAATCTCATTTGCCGATAATGCATTTGATCTGTAAATTTAATAGGCATGAATGAAATCTGAATTTTGATGCTTGGTTATCAACACATGGACTGTTTAAACCATAAAATGATAGTATTAGTCAACGTGCATATTTTAGTCTCAGAAATTTGTTTAACAATTTGAATAAGGTTGTCCAATCAAACTTAATAAATTTTAACATTTAATAAAGAACTTATATTGTATCACATTCCAGAAATATTTTTGAACGTATAATGCTTCTGGAGTAAATCCACAAGAACACTTCCAGAAAGTGAAATTCTTTTAGAAAGACTTTGGTGAAATAGTTCACGATTACTTGCATAGTTATACTCATACATGAATTTAAATTTCCATGTAGCCGTTCATATTTAAATGTACTAATTTTACATCATGCCCACTATTTTTCCCTGTGGAAAGCAGGCATAGAAATGCAGTATTTTCTCTCTCAGCGCAGGTATAGGTAGAAGTGGGCGAGACACTAGAAATCACCATTTCTCATACAGGTATAGTCCTGCCATATTAACTGTGCAGTTCCGTCCCATTTTGAGAGAAAAACACCCAGAGGGCTGACCGAGGTCCTCTTTCCCTATCATCAACCTCTCGAAAGGACCTTCAGTTTATCGCGTATTTTGATGTCTTCCTGCCACATAGGTATTGTACAAACATTCATCTCTTTTCCAGAATTCGAAGCCGCGCCCTTGGTCGGGAAGTCAGGGTCACTAATCACTATACCATTTGGGCGGCTCTGTCTCAATGTAGTAAACTAATATGAGCAGATTTTTTAAAAATCTGCAACAAATTCATATTTTGAGAACAACATAACATACTTCCTCATTTCTTGGGCGGTTTGCTTGTTCTTAATATTAAGACGCAAAAAGTGCTGTAGTTTTCTAAACAAAAGGCTTTTCGCAAAATTCTAACTAGTATTCTACGATTCGAATAATTTGTTATGACCATAGATTTACTAATTTCTATTCTGTGCTGTAATTAACAAATTATGAATATGAAATTTAAGATATTATGATTAAATCTTAGTTTCTTTTCAGGGAAATCTCTTCCCCACTTTCGACGATGGCCTCGTCGGTCGACCCGATGGCTTGACAATGGACATCGGGAAGCACGGCCCCACGGGTGGTCCAAGCCTGCACATCAAACACGACATGATGTACGCTCATCATCCGGGTATGGGACCCGGACACGCGGCAGCTAACACACGACCTCACCACAGCCAGATGGTACATTCCGGTATGGACGCGATGGACTTGCTAGACCCTATTTGTCCTTCTTCTCTCCCTCCGTTATCCATGCCGACAGAGAGCAGTGCCGTCAGTTCCCATCCTCAACTTCACGGACCCATTTACTCTCATGGTATGAACACTATGATGGCGACGCACCACCATCCCCTTGCCCCTCATCCTTCCATGGGCATGCACGATGCGGACACCGATCCTCGAGAACTCGAGGCTTTTGCCGAAAGATTCAAACAGCGACGCATCAAATTGGGTGTCACACAAGCGGACGTCGGTAAAGCTCTGGCCAACCTTAAGTTACCGGGGGTTGGTTCACTTTCTCAGAGCACCATCTGTAGGTTTGAATCTCTTACTTTGTCCCATAACAACATGGTCGCCCTGAAACCCATCCTCCAAGCTTGGTTAGAAGCGGCCGAAGCTCAGGCTAAAAACAAAAGAAGAGAGCCAGATGGTCCAAGTGTTTTGCCTAGTGGGGAAAAGAAAAGAAAGAGAACGTCCATAGCAGCTCCAGAAAAGCGATCCCTCGAAGCTTATTTCGCTGTGCAGCCACGACCATCAGGAGAGAAGATAGCAGCGATAGCAGAGAAATTAGACCTCAAGAAAAATGTAGTTAGAGTTTGGTTCTGTAATCAAAGGCAGAAACAGAAACGAATGAAGTACTCTGCTCAGCAGCATTAGCATCAATGTAAACATACAAAACGCAAGGACAATTTACAGACCTATAAAATACTTGAATTATTGCGTTGCTTCGCCTAGACCTGTGGATCTTAACTCATATATGGAGAGGGGGGAAGTTAAGTTTCACTTTTCGTGTTCTTCGCGAACTTCCACGTGGTTTTCACATGTTTTCATATATAATAATCGATTGTCACAGTTCATGTCCAAGGTAGATACATCGTTGTAAATTTAATATAAGCTTAGTACAACTTTAAAAACTTTATAGTTTTTTTAGGGCATGTCTTTTTTAAAACTTATTTTCTTTCAGCCATCCATAACATGCTAAGCTTATACATGTAATATATTAAATGAACAGAAAAACACGAAAATGATATGACTTATAACGTGAGACGTGCCCATTAAAATGCAACAAAACCAAAAGCTTGAATAAAAGCTATGTATTACTATAACAAAAAATGACTACATTTTTGTAGATTACGAGTAGCTGATATCATCTTTGTAATATAGCTACACCATTTTCTTGCTCATGAACATTAAAAAAGTCGAAGGACTGAAGATGCGATTTTCCATTTTATACAAAGTTATCGTTATAAAACATGAAAATTACTTGCATACCTAACCAAAATGTATCTCCCCAATGAAAGGGAGACTGTTCTCTTGCGTTTCTCTTCCTTTTCTCTAGCATGTTAATAATAGGTGCTTGATTTATAAAATTTTGTTTCTTTTTGAATTATTAAATAGTATGTGAATGCAGACCACATACTGAGAATTTTTGCCAGTGCTCTTACTATTAATATCATAGTATTATCTTAGCTTCAGAATTCATGAACTCGATAAATAAATATGCTAATCAAGTTTAATAAATCCGTATCTTTCTAATGCTAAATTAAAGACCTTAAAATTGGACAGATACATAAAAAATACGAAAATCATTTTTAAGATTCACATAGAAGTAAAAAAAGTATCTTAATACAATGAGCATTAAAACATACAAACTGCCGCCACATGTAGTTATTATGTTCAGGTACCGTTTAATTAGATGTATAAGGATGTATTGCCAGGAAACATATTAGTGCTACTTAACTGGAGTCACACATGAGACATTGCGCACAAAAGTTGCCTTGTAATTTCAATCATATTGCCCCAAAGTAGGGTCTTTATCTTCGGTATATACCTGCAAGCATTTCTACCGCCGGAAGAAATTTCTTGTCTAAAAAAATCTGCAGAGCAGATTACCGTCCTATACCTGCATTCTTAAAATGTACGCATTCTATCTTGTAGAACTTCGCATCACGCATCACACGTGACTTACTTAAGATTACAACAACTTTAAACTCTAAATGGCTGATATTTGGCTAATCGTCATCCATAAAAAACTAATACTTACGCAATAAATTTGTCTAAATAAAAGACGGCAAAATTATCTCACAAGTCCTAAGTATTATTTATGTTAGTCAATTAATTAGGATTTCCATTAATAAATCAACAGTCTACCTGTACGAGATTTAAACTGAAGAAAACGTATTTCATAAGCGTACACTGTCTCTTTTTAAATCTAAAAGAATCACCAGTTTCGTAAAGGGTTTTTGAAATAAAATTTGACAAGTATGTACTCGCGTTACTTTTGAATTACGAAATGAAACGGATTCACTTAGACATTCACACCTTTTTATACTGTGGTTTGCATTCATGTATTATTTTTCCAATTGTCATAACTGAAGTATAAATGATCTTGAGGTAGTAGCTCCTTACATTTTATTATTTAATTAATTAATTTGAATATATTTGAAAAGAATAGGAAAAATGAATGAAAACACTGTAAATATCGCGGAATATTATATCTCTCATGTATGTGCGAATTGATTTTTCTCATTAAATTTTTGATGTATATAATAATAAGAATGTATATATCCGGGTCCAATACAATAATAAGATAAATACTAATTCAGTACTGTGTATTTTGATGTTACTTTACGCAGCGACTTTACTTTTTTCCATTTAACTTAGTTTTGAATGATTCTCGCACACAACTATATCTTAATATTAAGGACTATTTCTTTCTTTCTTACGAACATGCACACATAAACTGTACACATATATTTATTTGCTTCCCATGCAAGGTATAAGAATAATTACATTTCTCCAAATATAAAAGAAACCAATACAAATATGAACCTATTTTACATGTTAAAAAGACTACACCTTACGCAGTGGATTACAGAAAATGTCATAGTTCTGACCATGACGAACCGCATGAATATTTAATTAATGGAAGCCTAATACCATATAAACCAATTTTAACTAACATAATTACATAAAATATATCTTATCTGAAATAAATAACCCTAAAAAGCGCAATGGAAGCTTTCAGTTTGAAAAGGCAGAGCTATTTTGCTCTATTCTTGTATTTTCTACGAAAAATGAAATTATTGTACACATTGGAACATATGATTAAGGAATGTAGAATTATATGCAATGTAGTATATGAAATGCAAAAACCAGGTCATTATTGATATGTATGATCAAATGTATTTTAGTGAAATAAACACGAAACATTGACTTCTAACACGCAAATTAAAAAAAAAAAAAAAATTGTGAAATAAAACTGCAAAACATTTTATCAGGAAAATGAATTAAATGATTGCTATCTTATGAAATTTTAGTCAAACAGAAACAAATTAGAAACACTCTGATTTATGATTACACCTTTTTTAACTGAAATTACAAGAGTTAAAAAGTTACCAGCTCAATAATTTCTAAACTATAGTATGAACCTTGATAACTATTGAATTACACTTTTCGACGAGAAGTGATGGGAGATGACTCTGTAAGTAAAACATACCTGTAGTCAATATAAATTTATCCTACAAAATAATTTTCTGTTTTATTTTGCATGTTAATGGAATAATACTGTTAAGGAAATCCTATGTGATCAAGCACTTCGAAATAATAATAATTCCAGCCATCTCAAGAAAAAGTTTAGTAGATTAATGGATATATATCAGACATCAGTTTCCACACGTCATTAATTTTTCGTACTTGACAAGAGGTATCTCTTCTACAATAATTCAAACTTTTGTATAATTTTAGATAACAGTAATGCGATTTCTATTGTGATTATTTTAGTCTTTATCAGTGAACATTATTGGATAAGAAAGACGATAAATGTTCACTTACTGAACATAAAATTAAGAATTAAAATATGTTATAATATATCATAAAAAATGAAACAACAGCTAAAATGTTACACACGTCACGCTTGCTTTGTAAAAGTCGCGTACAAAAGAAGGGAAGAAATATTTTTTTTTGGAGGGGAGGGGGTTCGGATTGACTTTGAACCCAGGCTGATATTTTCATCATTAGTTCTATGTTCGTCATTTAAAAAAATAAAAGATTAGTGAAATGTAATTTTTGCTAAAAACTATAGTTAATTTTGAGAGCGATTTCTCTCAGAACATATATATAAACAACTCAAAAAGGAATAAATAAAAAATAATATTTTTAGAGACATTTTTATTTTTATAGTTGACAATGGCTACTGTAATAAACTTTTTAGCTCTATTTAATAAAATATTTCGGCAAATATTTCTCATTTTACCTAAAGCCATAAAAGCGTTATTAAATTACCCTTTGGTCTCTTGTAATTAATAATATTTTCTTGTTTTAATCTATGTAATGAAAAAAGCGAAACAATCTTGCTTTGTTTTTCCTAGTCAGTAATAAAAGATAAGCAAATAAATATAAATTGCAAGGTTATTATTATGCTGAAATTATACTTAATACATATTATTATAAATATTATTTAAAAAAGATTAACGTATTCAAAATTGATATGTAATAAAAATCTGTCATCTAATAAATGACGTATAACGTGAGACCTTAAATTAAGGTCAAATAGAAGCCTGTTTAAAATTAAGAATTTAACTGTTTCGATATGCAAGGACATTGTATTTGACGTTTCAGATAATTACATTGATCAAATATCTTTAAAAAATATTCCAACGCTGTTATTTGTGTAGGTTCTTGTATTTGAATCCCAAACTTCAATATTTTTCTTCTATCTTCTTACATCGAAATTATAATTTAATTAGCAGTTCTTCAGTCGCTAATGAGAATTTATGCTACTCGAAGGATTTGTGTTCGTAAGAAATACAATTTTTCACGATGGCGTTCTGATTAATACTTTTTTTTGATAGGCGTTTGCTCTGAAAACACAATTAAAAAAAAGGAGCGAAAATTCTCTGAAGCAGCAGAAGCGAGCTCATCTTTCTTCGTCTCTTTTTCCGCTTCTGCCTGGAGCAAGTTTTGGGAGCTAATTAGGCAGAATTCCCAGGTAATCTCGTCCTTACTCGATTACAAATCCAATAACGAGACACTTCCTAAATCAGTTGTTCCTTACCAGCATAACGATCTCCCTCGAACACGCTACAGCGTTACTCCACCCACCCCCGCCATGCTTCTTCCCCCCCCTCGCAGACGCACACACCAACGACGCTGCATTAACGAATGATATCTCTACATTATGTATTTAGTACAAGCCTTCTTCGTTAATTATGAATGTGAAGCTTGAATTATAAATGCGCCTTTTCACGGTGTTTCCAGTTTAAAGGTTTCTGCCTTTTGCTTGGTTTGTATCTCCGCCGCCCTTCCCCTTCGCCCCGAGTGGAGGAGGCGAGCCTAATTACGACCAGCATGTTTGTGCGCTGGATGAGAAGAAGGGGGGCTGCAACCTCAGTCTCAGCACTAATCACTAGACTAGCCTGCTTTCGAAAGTCTCTTTACCGTTTCGAATTCTGATGCAGCGTATTGTAGGCGAAATCCCCTGAAGTAAGGAGAGGGAGTTAGTTGCCTTTTCGTTCCCGTGTAAATACTGTGCTAGGTCCTGCACGACTTCGCAACACACTCTTCGAGGACAATTGCGGTTACTACAAGCGCTTTCAACAAAGCAACAGAAAGGCTGATAAAAGAAAAAGTACATAACGTGACTGGGGATTGGATTTCGTTAGGCATTACCATTATTTGAGTCGTAACTTATTGAAGGAGCAAGCTCAACTGTATTGTGATCTTCGCAGCTCGGGACACTTCTCAATTCATTGCAATAAATGAATATGAAAGAAAAAGAAAATATTGCTATAACAAGGTTCTAGAAAACGTAACACATACGCTTCCAAATTGTTTATTCGTACCTGCAAATATAATAAAGAGAGTTTGATTTTCTTATTTCTTTCAATCGAACGAAGTGAATATCGCACTTAATTACAAATAATTACTAATTTGAAAAATTAAGTGTAGTCTTAAAATAATTTGAGGTTACATTTATGCGTTTTAGTTGTTAAAAAATTCTTGAAAGAGACAGCTGATCGTAAATTTTGCGATCACGCAACTGCTTATTTGATTTGTAAATCAAATCAAATAAGCAGTTTACTTGATTTGTAAATTAAATCAAATAAGCAGTTGCGTGAGCGAATTCCAGCAGTAGGTACAGTGAAGAATATTTAACACGAAAAATAATTAGAATAGATTTACAAAGTTCTATTTATCCACTATATCTTAAACAATGTTTTCACTTCATTATAATCGCAAAGTGTATCAAAATATATGACGGGAAAAATTAACCGAAACATTAAGTCATATATCATGCATTCTAGACTCAAATTTCAAACATACATTTTCAATACATTACAATTTCATACGTAGACAAAGGCATTTTCTTTTCAGTAGAATTAACGTGCGATTTGCATTCTGGGTTGAAATTAGATAACATGAATTATTCTACATATAGACAACTATAAAGATAACATATAAATAAAAAAGACAACACCCGAAACTTCTCTTTAAGAGGAAATAAAATGTTAAAAATTTATTCGTAAAAAAGTCTATTCTTAAGTTATACTTTGAAAAAAGGACCTATATATAACAATGCAAGAAAATATCTACGCATTTTGAATTAATGTTATGCATCTGAATTTTTACGTCTACCGATTCAAAGTTTTCTAGGATAACAACACGATTAAATAAGTCATATGCGAGCAGGGGGAGTGAAGCCTACCTTTTCGAAATTAGTTCAAGGGCGAATTAACTTGAATGGTTATTCTATCGACAAGATTTAAGAAGCACTATTGGTTTGAAACGATGTGAAAAATACACGTAAGAAGCCAAAATTACTAAAAACGAAATAGGCTTTAAATGAATTAGCTTTGAACTCACAACAATTATATTGACTTATTGTGCCGCATCCACATTTGAGGAAAAAAGTACTATATAAAGCAATTACTTTTCACGTTGACGTTAAGTTTTTAATTAAGAAAATCAAATATGACCAACAAGATTTTATTTCCTTAAGATTTCTAATAAAAGATAATTATCGCTTATTGAATGCAAGTAAAATATTTCAATATTTATGGAGGGAAGTTTATAATACAAATTCATGTTAACTGAAAGAAAGAAAGCCAGGATTTGGATCTATTTTCAGCTATCGAATAGGAAACGGAATTTCAGTTTTATTTATAAGCCTTAAAGACAGCGATGCATGGTACGCCTTAAACTCTCTTAGGTTAGTTTTTTTTTTTTTTTTTTTTTTTTTTTTTTTTTTTCAGAGTGACAGGCACAAGTCGTCATAGATGTTTGCCACTACTAATGTCAAAAGAGGTGGTCACTTCGTTATGGAGGCACCTAATAGGTGGGCCACTGTTACCTCTTATAAAGGGACAGATAAATTTGCATCCATGCCTTCTCTGGGATTCGAACCCGGGCTCTTCGGAACGCCAGTCAGAGTCACTAACCACTTTCCCGTCTGGGCGGCTCTCAAGTTACTTCATCCTTTAAAAACTTTAAAAATTTAATCCCTCATGTTAAAAATTAATTGATAAATTGCTATGCAAATTGCTATGTACGTCATTAAATAGCTTGTTAATGTTAATGTTTAAAAGAAAGCGGTAAATATGGTTTAGGGAGCTCAGAACTTAATATTGCTTGATTCTTGAATTAGAAGTATTTTTGCAATTATTATATATGTTGCTAGAATTTAGGAAAAACTAATAAAATCCTCGAAAACGAATAAGAACATGTTGACAGTGCGTAACATACTTAAGTTTCAGCGAAGTTGTTATTGCTAACGCTCACTCATAATGAATCTATAGTCAGCCCAAGCCAACAAAATTCTTCGTGGCAAGGAGGACAAGTTTCCGCCTGTCGTTGGCAACAACCATGAGCACTTTACAGGTGACAGTGCGAATTAGCTCAGTTCCGCCCCTTCCAACTTTGATGGTTGGCATCCCGGGGGGGGAGGTCCAAGAGTCTCCCACCCCCTTCCACTACCACCAACCTCTCGAAAAGTCTTTCATCTCGCCTCATATTTAGTGTGCCCCCATGTCGCACGGATACTATACATTTACAAACATTCATGCCTTCTCCGGTATTCGAACCCAGTCCCTTCAGCATGGTAGTCAGCAACGCTAAACACTATAACGATTTCAGGAATTATCACAGCAGTTTTGCTGTTTTCTTTAATTTTAACCTTTTCTTTTGGTCTTAAAACATACATTTGTTCATGTGTTAAAAAAAAATATCTTTAACAGTTTTAAGATTAGGCTTTTCCCCAAAACCCTTAAATTTTTACATGTGCTTTAATCATAGCCGAAGACAAAGCAATAATTCAGTTAACAATTTCTGGCAACAATTTTAGCACTGCACATTTCATTTGTGAAATGCTACT